GAAGCACTATAACTCTCTTAATGATGATCCAGTATGAATTACACTTCGGTATAAAGTTGTGTGACTGTTAGGTTGAGTTGATTAAAAGATTAGCCCAAACCTTTTGGGACAAACTAGAGCCTATAATGAGTTTTTGCAAATGTACAAACGTGTTTTTTTTCTGACAGCAATCTTTAAGCTTCCAAGCTGCTCAGTACTTCCCAAGACAAATTGCATGTTGGCAGGGCATTGCATAACCTATGCTTGTGCGTGTTTTTTCTCTCCAAAAATTGTTTTAAAATGTGCCCGAAGTTCTCCATTATTTGTGTTTAACTCCTGACCTGATCTGTAGCCAATATGGCAAATAAGGGCTGTGCCCGCTTTTAAAGCGTTTACCAGTGATTGATGCTGGTTACATTTGGACTGTGATTAAAATGTTCATTTATAAATACATGATGATACATGTTGTTGGTGGATGGAAGGTATAAGATAAGTTCGGAACATTAATGCACAGATTCCATGCACAGCTGCTCACAATTTATATATCGGTCATTTTAAGTTGTTCGATTTAAAGCTTTCGTGACTGCAGGGATTCATATTATTCATATAGACGCTAAGCAGGCGGGGGTCCTGTATAGTGCTTGGATGGGTGACCAACTGCCACGCGCAAAGCAGGTGTTATAGGCGTCTCTATCGCAACGTTACAGGCAGCAGTTGCGGTTGCACCCGATTCAAGAGCCGAATGGCTCACAGGGCTATACCAAATGAATGAAATGAATATTCTTGGTTCTTTCGGTAAAGTCACGTAGAAGGGAAATAGGAAAATAATAAAAATAAAACAAAATTCTCACGACGTTTTGGCCACAATGCAAGCAGCCGTCCTCAAGTGAAGAAACAGAGCTGTCAGAAAGACAGCGTCTTAATGAGACGCCGTCTTAATGAGACGCCGTCTTAATGAGACGCCCTATTTCTGACAGCTCTGTTTCTTCACCTGAGGACGGCTGCTTGCGTTATGGCCGAAACGTCGTGAGAATTTTATGCCATTATGTTTTATTTTTATTATTGTATTATTTCCCTTCTACGTGACTTCACCGAAAGAACCAAGAATATAAAATTGATTTCTCAATGATATGGTCCTGGGGAAGATGCTCATCTCACATGTGTAGACCGAAGCTCGTGGTAATTTTCCATTGCGAATAGGTGACAAGTTAATCCATCACAGAAGCACACATGCCAATTTCCGTGTCTCTCACAATGCAAGACCTTATATAAACATGGCATAATCATTTACAACCATTTGTACATCCACCGCTGGATGAAGGCCTCCCCATGCTGTGTCAGTTTTGAGGGCACTTTGACTATGATAGGCAATGTCAGTCCCGTGTGGGATGGTGAAATTGAGTGGGAGAGTGAGTGCGAGGCCCAGGACTCGTTAGGCTATCACTCACTACTGATGTTAGCAGTGGCTGTAAATCAAATTTAAGGCTGGATTCAAGGTGCTACTGCTGCACCCCACGTAAAGTAGACTCGATTATCCATGTGTGGTTTATCCGATTTCCGGATTATCCACACACCTGAGATTTTGACATAAATTAAAAAAACTCATGGATTTTCCCTTAATTCCAAATTAATCATCTAATAACAGTCATGCATTGTTATTTTTAGAAATGTTTTTTTACAAGTCACGTGCTTAAACCAAACAAACATGTACTCCAGTTCATCCTAAATCCTTGTCATTGCCTCTACAGTGCAGTAGTAGCATATATTTACAACAGTGGGCGGAGTTTGATTGATGTTGATTATGGTGGCACTGCTATCCACTTAGTGGCTGGAGTCTTCTGCGCGATAGCATGAAAGTGTTATCACTGAGCACACGCATCGATCGTTAGTTTTTGGCATAGAGATCCGGGGAAAATGGTTATATTTTTGGATTATCCGTGATTTTGAGTTATCTACGACCGTCCTCCCCGTCAGCGTGGATAATCGAGAGCGTACTGTATATTTGTTTTATTTTAGCCTGTGTGTGTCCGTGTTCACTAGTTCACATGCTGCTCTACGAACCCGGCGACCCAGGTTCGATGCCCACTCACGGCCAACACCATTGACGATTATTGTAACTGGACCTGAACCTCCCTGAGGTGGACTCAAACGAATACCTGGTGCAGTGGGCAAAAACATCGCCACTGAGGAGACAAAGGTGGCCGGGCGTGGTGCTGGCCTCCCACCCCCTCGTGTGCCGTGCTGGCCTTGTTAGGTGCTCGCGAACAGCACTTGCCCCAGCAATATGTTAAGACTATACGGGGGATCTTTGTCACAATATAGAGACACTGAAAGTCTCTTGGAACTTAGCATTGGTTCGCCAGAGGTATTCCACGAGACTATGGCACCATCCTGAGGTGGAGGGCTGTAGGATGTTATGGAGGACCAATGACATTGTCCATGCTCTTTAATCAAGGCACACGTGTCATTGGACTCGCTGACAGTGCTAATTAGAGGACGTATCTGATCATTTAATTGGGTGTCTATATCGTTTGCTAGGACTATATATATAATTTCCTCCGAAACTATTGCAATTTAAGATATTGAATACTCACATTTTGAAACCTTTGTATATTACCTATGTTGGACAATGATGTCACTGTCCATGAGTTGTTCTCTGTGTTCGTTTTAATTGATAAGTTGTCTTGGAATATTCTTAGCTCTTTCGGTAAAGTCACGTTGAAGGGAAACAAAATAATAAAATATATATAAAACAATAAAAATTCTCACGACGTTTCGACCATATAATTTATGCAAACCGACACACCTGAAGACGACCGTTTGTGTTATGGTCGAAACGTCGTGAGAATTTTTATTGTTTTATATATTTTATTATTTTATTGTTTCCCTTCAACGTGACTTTACCGAAAGAGCTAAGAATATGAATTACTGCAGTCACGAAAGCTTTAAATCTAAATTTTGTCTTGGAATGTTTTAATGATTAATAAGTTCATGTGTAGTGCTCTGTTCAATTGTGCCTCTTTATTCCGTTGGCGTTTGGGGATTTTTTTTATATACTTGGGGCGCCAAGGTGGCAAGACGTTATCTCCCTCACCTGATATGCAGGAGTTTGTGGATTCGATTCCGACCCTGACGCCTGCTGTATATTTGAAGTGTGCACGGTCTCCCCGTGGTCGCGTGGATTTTTCTCTGGGTCCTCCGGTTTTCCCGTCCACATGTAGAAACATGCGTTTCGAGTATTTGACTGCTATACATTTCCACGACATTTACAATTGTGTCGGGTGGTTGCGGGTTTAACGACACGTTTATATTTACGCGTTTTAACCCCCCCCCCCCCCCCCCTCAAAACCCTCTTGGTCGCAAAAGCCTACGTGTTAAACCAAATTAAGCTACAGTTGTAGACACCCCTATTACGAGGTTAATCCTAGGGGATGCTGCCTTGGTATGATGGTGAACACGCTGGACTTTTAAGTCTTCACACTGTGCTTGAAGAGGTCGCTGTTTTTAATCCCCCTGGCATTGCCTCTTTTAAATAACGTTTATTAAATTCATCTGCCTCTGTCTCCACCCAGCAGTACAAAATGGGTACACCATAGATTGGATCAGTGTAGGTCGCACGTGGTCGGGTAAATTTTGGGGAGTCCCACCGCTTCCAAAACCTCTGACCAGCATAGAAGGGTAGGTCAAATACCCACTAGTGGGGCTCTCCAGAGCCGCCTCAAATTTAGGGGCCCTTCTGCCAGCAGTGGTCTGAGAAAAAAATTGCAGGACTACACCTTTATCTTCATGTATTTTAGGGTTGGCTACGTTCGTTGCGAAATAAGTTCGGCATACATAAATGTATGCATAGTACGAAATATGTGTGGAATTAACATGACTCGTGTAGGTTATGCTCGTCCATCTTGCGAATTATAATGGTTATTGCGTTATAAATCGAGGTGTGGTGCAGTGCAAAATCTAGGATGTGGAACGAACGACACAAACTTTGACCGAGCCCACCCATGAAGCATGTAATTATTATATGGAGCTAGCAAGTTTTTACGTCGTTGATTTTGAAAGCATGTTATTTATTCAGCTTATCGTTAAATGATGTAATGGCGTAAAGCTATACAATGTAATAATCGCGTGCAAAGTGCATATTCCAGAATATGTCGTATTTCCTTTTATCAGATGGAAGCACCGATTTTATGATTTCAAGGTTTGGGAGTCGAAATCCCAACCCTGGTCATTATCATGCCTCTTGATTGCACAAAATGAGTATGCCACAGCGCCTGAGCCGTACCATTTGGTATGAAGTCAGCAGCGGTTAAATGATTCAATTTACTTATTAAATATTTGTAGGTATACTTATTTAATAATTTAATGGAGTAATAACCAGGGCGGTGACATGACCGAGCGGTATCGTGCTCGCCGCTTGTTGCAGAGGTTAATGGGCTTTTTTTTTAAATCCAGTAGCCCCCCTCGTTATTACTACAGGTGCGGTAACCATAAACATACGCACCATCTGCTTCGCAGTGGACGTTAAAGACACGATGACGTCATTCACAAGAGTAGGCCATTGTGTGCCAGCGTCATAGTCCAAAGTTCCGAATTTGGAAACAAAAATGACACAAAAATACTCGATTGGGATTATAAATAGCAATCATACCCCCCCCCCCCCATTCAAAAGCTCGGCAGGACCCTCCCGAAAAGAGTCGTGGGATTATTTGAAGCTTTTTTGGGTAAACAAGGAAAACAATTGTGAAACCATTGTAAATGTTGTGGACTTACTCTCCAACATACCTGTGTGCTGAACTGGTGACGAATTGGCATGTTTTGTTTACGTCACAAACTTTACTAATTGGCTGTGTCGGGTGGTGGCAGGTTTAATGACACATTTACACGATCTAACCCCCAAAAGAACATCTGATGGATGATAATAACAAAAACTAATGAGACTGGTGCTGTCATGGGGACATTGAATGGTCGCCACTGGCTGAGGACCCAACAGCTGACGTGAAAGCCACATGCTGGACACGATGTGTCTGGGGATGTTTATTAGTTGTATTGCTCTGTCATGTACTTAAAATTGTATGTAATCCATATAAACACGGACAAAATAGACAGTTTTATTGCACTTAACTCGTTCTTGACTACACATACGTGTAAACCGGCTGATTGGTTAAAATCTGCGTCGCAGAAGTTTTAGGGCAAGTTTCAGCAATGCTTAATTTAATCTTCATAATCCCGAGTTTTTCAGCACTGCATGATTTATTACAAAATGTTATAAGTTTAGCTGCGGGACGTGTCGTGCTTAACATTGTAAATCACGCTGGCTTCAATCTACTCAAGTGATATGGAGCTCAGATAGATGTATTGGTGGTGGTCAAAACGTTTGCAAAATGAGACTAATAAAAAGCAGAGCTGACGATGTCATGCCTAATTTAAGCCCTATTTTCACCAAAGTATTCTAAGTTACTGTGAAATAAGCAATGACATGGTTGTACAATTCAAGTATGAACGAGTCATTGTATACATATTATTTCCCAAACGTTTATTCTGCTTGTGCTATCATATATCACGTGATTAGCAAAGCTCCAGTGAAAATCGCACAAAGCAGTCCTTTGCTGGAGAACAGCCCGCTGAAGGTGATATCATGGAACGACTTCTGAAATTCATTAAAGTGACCTTTTATCCACAAGCAGGGCGGTGTACTTTCCAATGCACGCTACTACATAAACGTTTGTCCTTTATCAGTCAAAATAACATTCTCATAGGTGTATTTTTTCGTCTCAAATTCAGTGAAACATCTAATTTAATATGGGTGTTTTTGTGGCGTCATCGGTGACGGTTTTGAGACCATCAACTCATTACACTTGAGGACCCGGTTTAATTACGACTCGGTCTACGCGAGTCTATAGGTCTCGATGTGAGTCTCGGGGACCGTATGTAAATCAGTCGTAACTGGGCTGAGATCATCAAATCACAACACTTGAGAAGCCAATTTAATCACGGGTGGCTGCCCCGAATAAACCACAGGATCACAGCAGTGCTGGTTAAGTGCTTTGATCCCCGAGGGACCCATCCCAATTTTCTCTCTGCTTACTTTTCGTGTCCTGTTTCTTAAACTGTTTGACTGGTCCTCATTCGTACATATACACACAATGACAGCAGGTTACCATGGAGACATGCAAGGAGCACATCAATCGCATGGCTGTGTATCTATGCATGTATGTACATGTGGGAATCCTTCCTTGTTTCATCCTCATGAAATTACACAGCCGCCCTTTTCTTTGAAGGGGTTCTTGTCCTCAGGAACTCCTTTCACCAGTGGGTCATCAGCCATATTCGATTCCACGTGCGCCAGGATGTCAGGAGCAACTTTGGAAATCTGCAACACAAAATAACCATTGTGCATCGTGGTGGAGAATGTTGTGCATTGTGTAGTTTTGCGTCGATTTAGAACCCATTATAGAGAAGGGTCCTTGCCTATAAACATCAGGTAGTCCACCAACATTGGTTCAAGCATAACGGCTGATGAGACACGGAACGTCGAAACCGGTATAGAGTGTTCTTGTATGGAACCAATGCTGCTGATTAAAAGCACTCCCAGAAGCCTGAGCGGTCAATGCGTTGTGTGAAAGATATTTTTTTCATGTAGAGAGACATATATGGGAAGCAGGAATTATGGGTTCCGAAATCTGGCATGCGGCAAAAGACAGAAATATGGACCGTGATAAGCATGTGTGCGTGTGTGACTTGTATGTATGTAAAATTTATAATGGAATTTAGTTATAATTTTAAAGCCTCAGAATGTGAACACGAGACAGAGATGCACATCTCGAGAATGTGAAATGTATTTTTTTTGTTCAGAGCAGGAAATGAGGGGTAGAATTATATCGAGCGGAGAGATAATTGAGATAGCATTATTGTACGATGGAAATTCGAATTAAGACACTTCATAGAGAGATGGTAATAGGCAAAAAGAGAATATTAAAAATGGCTTTGTGCATTGGCAAGGTTTATACCCTGGGATTGGTGATGTCGCAGTCAGAGAATGCTACCAATGACTCAGGTAAAACATTTTGGCCATGCAAATGAGTGGCAATCAACATTTATACATGGCCTGGCTCTTCACTTTCAACTCAGTCCGAAGTAAATGTGGAGCTGTTGCGATCATTGTTTGTACTGGGAAGAAAAATGGCACGGCATGTATGAGCACCACTTAATGCGCCAGGCGAGCTGTAATAAGTGATCTCTAACAGCACTTATTCAAACAGTCAAGATAAAAACACAGCTAATTAAATCAACATTACCAACGCAATAACTAAGATGAATCCCAAACTGATTCTCTGTCTAATTTAGATTTTTGTACACGCATAAACCCTCGTCCTAATTTACATTTTAATAGCAAATTTGCGTTGTAATATCGAAGAATCATGAATACAGAAAAGCGAAGCAGAGTTATTCGTACTCAGACTGCAGCGAGATAACCGCCACCCAGAGTTTCCCACTCGGAGCGATGTAAATGATACCCAAAAGCCATCGACGGTCGACTTAATGCGAGGAGTTCGGTGGAATATGGAATATTTGGGCATGTGGGTATCGGTGGCGGTGGTAGGCAGAAGCAAAACCCAAGCAAAAAGCTTACAGCTCCAAACATCTCAACGAGCCCCCTTGGATTCCTGAACAACAACGAAAAATGGGATACGGCAGCTGGATGTCCGATCCTAATAAACAAAAATCTCATAATTCTAATAAACACGGCTGACAATTATTGTAATTAGTCTTACCTTAATTTCACAACTGTGATCTAATTAAGGAGCTCATCGATTATATTGTTTGTATGTTGTGTGTACGTTGAACTTCTTTCGCACCGTACGTAGTCAACCGTGCTATTCGGATGCGCGTGGGAAGGACAACGAATGAAACGCCAAACAGCACATGTAAAGAAATGGGTTTTCAATCTAGATTTAAAAGTGGCATCGCTATCAGCAGCTCCCTATTATCTGAAAGGAAGAGCGTTCTGGACGACTGCGGAAGGGCATCTGAAAGTGCGCGCGCGATGCGGTGACCACCTCCGTTGGCCAGCCACATGCCGCTTGCGGTCAGGTTTGGGGTACATATACAAGCACAGAGACAATTTCAACCGAGAAGATGGATTCTGGCTTAGCAATCATTGGAAAGATTTGATAAACCATTTCGGGTCTTAATTGATTGCTCACGCTTACGGTGGCTTTCAGACAGCATACATTAATTTTTCGTCTCCCCCCCTCCTCTTTTCAGAAGATAGATGGACTAGTTCTTCTAAATAAACTGCCAAATCGCTGCGCGTGGCGCTGACGGTTTTTTATAAATAAATAAATACGCCGTTTAAAAATAAATCAATTAATGCAAACCGACACACCTGATGACGACCGTTTGTGTTATGGTCGAAACGTGAGAATTTTTATTGTTTTATATTTTTTAATTATTTTATTGTTTCCCTTCAACGTGACTTTACCGAAAGAGCTAAGAATATGAATACAATAATTTCTGTAGAGTGCGCGCAATGGGCTAGCACGTGCACCTCCGAGTGGTACCGGCATTCTCTGGATTACAAGAGGCAGTTTCTTTCCCCCGTAACAATAGGGCAAACGTTGGGGATGCGTCTTATGATCGGCAAGGTGTGTGCGCGTGTGTTGTGTGAAAAGACTCGTGTGACTGTACGGGGTGCTTCAAAAGAAATGTTAACACTTGGGAGAAATTTGCAACAATACCACGAAAAAATGTGCCTCCGGGCTCTGGAGATCACCTCGAGAAGATTCCGGGGCACGCGTTGACAATGATGGCGAACAAGTGGAGACTCTTTGACCTTTTGAAGCTATTAACATTACATTTGTTATCATGTTACAGTGTATTAAATTCGTTACTTTTCCATTGAAACGATAGTCACATAAAAAGCGTTAACATATTTTTGAAGCACCTTATATAGACACTGCACACGGGTTTGGGGTACGTCTTGCTGGAGCATGTCATAATCTGGAGGAGAGCACTTTGTGCCGCTGTGAAATGCATTTCAATTCCTTAATTATATATACTTACTTTGATCTGCATAGATATAATGCAAAATATCAATCACTTATGTGCTCATATTACGGCTCAATAAATCATTTACTCTTTTGCGTAACCCTGTATGAATCTCAGCCAGCATATCCTTTATTTAAACCAGGTGGGAACACAATGACATTCGTTATTTCTTGTACGTAACGGACACCTGGGGCAGCATAGTTCAGAATGCAACAAAAAATTACCCAATTTTGTTGAGGGCGATTGTGGAATGTGTGGTTTTGGGCTCTGACACCAGCGCAGAGTGCAATAGTTTAAACAAAATAAAAAAAACGATTGGAGCCAACGAGTGTCTCAAGCATCAGCTTTAGGGGCTGGCGACAGGCCAGATTTTGACGGCAATTCGTTGATGTCTCCAGACTCATTCAATGGCGAGTGCCGTGCGATAACTGCTGGGTTATTGCGGCCATCTTATTGTACATTTTTTTTATAATTTGTATTTTATATTATTAACACAAAGGACTTGTGAATCAAGTCGATTATGATTTTTGTATTATTATTAAAGATGCAATGCATTTTATTATTGGCCAAGCATCCCAATGATGAAATATTACCTGCAAACTACCGTACTTAATTAGGATAACTACACAGCGGGAACATCGCCCCCAACTGTGAAAGCTTGACAGGACCCTCCCGAAAAAGAGCCTTGAGACTCGGTGAGGTTTTTTTTTTTCCAGGGGAAAACAAGTGGAATAATAATAGTTGTGGTCAAAGGATCTCGGTGTACCTCTGCACTGGCTAAATTCATCTGCATAGCAGCGAAGCTAATCTGGTAAAATTCGATAGTCCCAATAAGTGACGAGCCAGTGTCATTGTAACATAACAATAATAAATGTCTTTAATGATGCTAATAATTACTTATCCAGGAAAGCCTCGTTGAGACTCTTTAATTATTTCAGGAGGATGCTGCTCCATTTGGGTGTTTGGCAAATTTAATTTGTGTTTGGCTTAATGTGGGGGGGAAAAATGGAGAATCTGGAGAAAACCCATACATACAAAGGTGACACTCAGCACTGCCATAGACATTGGAATTTTGAGATTATAATTACGGTACAGCAACTCCCTCGTTATCCACGAACTCACTATCCGCAATTTTGGCTATCTGCGAATCGCATCTGGAACTCTACACGACTGCATCGAGAGAGAAAGAAAGTGATGTGATAAAGTGATGAGATAAAGTGATGAGAGAGATAATTTCTCGAAGCTTCAGAAGCATCTGCAGACGTTGCGCGTACGATATTCGTTGGGCAACGTCATTATAAGCGACATTTGCTATTCGCGAGGATCTCCGGAACGTAACCCTCTCGGCAAATAACGAGGGAACACAGTAATGGTGTCACCGTACCTTCTCCCGTGTCAGCTTTACTTCTATCCGGAGTTGCTCTGCCTCCATCTTCGCAGTTTCCTCGGGAGTTCTCTCTTCTTCCATCGCGAGGTAGTTATTCTGCTGTCCCTGTGTGGATCCATCAACAACACCCTCCAGTCATTAGCGGTCTGCTTGGGGTTTCGCGATCGTGATGTGCAGCCCTCCAATGTGATTTCGGATTGTACTGCGTGCTGTTCGGCATTTGTATGTCCGACGTTTCGCTCTACACGCTGCGGATCTTCAGGAACTGAAATTCAGTTCAATCCAATTTAGTTTCCGTGGAGCGAAACGTCGGACATCGGGCCGGACAACACGTGGTGAAATCTGAAAACATATCAGAGAAGCTAGTCGTCGGCATTATTGCTAAAGTTTGTTGATCATGCTGTACGTTTGCCAACACAAACATTTCAACTGTGAATATGTGCACATTCCAAATGTTAAAATAGCTACATGTATACAATTCGCAATAGATTATGGTTAAGTGTCAATCCAAGCCGTGCATGTGCAGTTATCATAAAGTATTTTTTTATCTCAATGGTTAGTTATTACAAGTTGCTTTTAGTAATCTGCTTATCACACGAATCTCTCTAGAAAATGAGCATCACCCCCCGCCGATATGTATAGCGTGTTGAGATTCAGTCGCTACATAAATCGCATCACTCATTGACCGAGGGCCCTTTCAAGATTCCCAAGCCCGGCCGAGGAGCGAGAAACACGATACCGCGCATAACAAACACTATTTCAGAATATTCGTCATTACAGCAAATATGCTTTGATTTTTGTTTCCCTTCACATATTTTCCCCCTTCCAAAAATGACAGCGTCCCAACTCTTTTCACCCGTCTCTTAAGCCAACGCGACAACCTTCAAAAAGGCGAACCGCGGCACACGTTTATCACTCGTACATTTGACATCGGCCGGTAAAATGCGCACTGCTGTATTATTTTATGCCTCGTAGCTTCTCACCTACGAGTAGATCAGGCTGCTCGCTGTAACTATCTTGAGGGCGGACGCGTGCGTTGCAAGAGGCGCATCGTACCTTCGTCTATATCTCTGTGATGTCGCCCATCGGCTGCGTCTCTCCTCCCTCCCTCCTCCCGCTCTGATTAACACGGTGTCGCCCAAACGTGGCTATTTAGACCAAGGGTAAACCTCTAATCCGTTATAATCCTCCCATGAGCCTTATCCCCCGGCTTCTCGGACATCCTTTGGCTTTCGCCCGTTTTTTAAAAGAGAGCGCGTGTCAGTGCATTGCATTTTTTGTTTTCGGTATAATTATGGTCTTAATGCTGTACGCCCTGTTTGTGATATTCATTGTGTTTGATGGTACACCTCAAACACACACTGGCGTGACCATCAACGCACCCTTGCGTGCATCTCCTTCATAAATGAAAAAAATATAAGGCTGTTCAGAGTAGTGCGACTATGGCCATGCGACTGTGGACCGTATAGTAATCCCACGGAGATCCACAAAGTTACAGCGCTGTAGATTGCGACTCACAGAGACTCAGATCGAACGTTGAACTTCTTATGAAGCGACTAAATCTCAAGACGCGAACCATAGTGGTGGTAGGGGGAATATTACATTTTCGCACCGTACGTAGCCAACCCTGCTCATCGGAAGTGATACGGAGGCGCATAGAAACGCATAGAGAGACACAGAGATAGAGACACACAGAGATAGAGACACACAAAGGCCCAAAAGAGACGCACAGTGACAAATAGTCACACACAGACATAGATTAATGGCGTGGCCACAGTCGTGCGATTATGGCCATGCAACCCAAATACGTTGTGTCGTGACATCGCGAGATGTCACTGTGCAGTGCTGGCCCTAGAGGGGCTCGGTGAGCACTGATTGATAGCGCTGGATGGCACCACACTTGGCGTGCAGTTAGGCCTCGGCAAGGTAAGGTAATATTACCCTTTTTACAGGGTAAGAGGGTAAAGGTGTCGACATGCCAAGGGGTAAGGTAAAGGGTAGGGTAAAGGTAGCCAGAAGTATTGCCCGGTAAATACCTTGTTTACCGCTCGCTAAAAGCTCCGTGGTGCAGTCCGTGGCCATCATTTAAAATTGGAATAATCCAGAGTATTCTATATAAATATAGTGCTCTACCTAGCATTTACCTGTTATAAACCTTGTTCATGTGTAGTACCCCAGTACTTACCCTGTAATCTGGTCATTTGCATGGGGTAAGGGTAAAAGGTAGGGTAAAAGGTAGGATAACGGTAGGCTCGTTGTTTTTACCTTTTACCTCTTACCTTGCCGAGGCCTACGTGCAGTGCCATCCCTAAAGGACAGGGTGTGGGAGTGCCGGCCTTAGGAATGAGGTTACTAAAGGCCATGGCACTCTGGTTGACTCGAGAGGACACGTGACCAGTTAAGTCTACAAAGGGGCCCAAGTGGGGGCGAGGGGTGGTCACGTGGTTAGCATCCAGATCCTGCTCGAGGATTCTGGAAGGTGGTCGTGGCCAAGGGCGGAGCCGGCCACGTCGCAGAGAATATAAGCCGGGTGCCCCAGAGGGACCTGCGTTGTTGTTCATCCTGAAGAAACCTTCGTCAACGTTCTACGCTCAACGAGTCTCCAACACGTGGACCTGGACCCGTGCTGTGGTCCCGGTCCGTAGTAGCTAGTTGCGTTGCAATTAGTGTAATTGGCCTGGCGGTCACCACCATAGGTTGTTATTCTGTTAAGGGGAAGTTTCCCCGTGTGTTGGAGTTAAATACATTTATTGCCTCCAAGTATACATCTGCGACTCAGTTGAACTCACTACACGTGTACAAGAGGTGTATCATTCGCGGTACTTTCCAAGAACCCCCGCGGTATTCAAGGGTCTCCGGTATAGTTAACCACTGCAGTCTGCTCTCCTTCAATGGAAATGAAAACCAAAAACGACACGGACACTCACCTGAAGCCCTCTCGTCGTGGCGAGACCTCGACGTTGCCATACACAAGAATGGCATCATGTGTTTGTAATTGGCAACGCGTAACTTGTTTTGTACCTGCGAGCACATGCAACGTTTGCTGTTCGTACGGAAGGGCCTGCGCGCACAAACACAAAGTTCCACCCGGTGCACCCGACACAATAAAAGCAATGCACGCAACAAGTACGAGATGGATTTAATACACCACAGGCTCTCTTGACGGGTGGTGGTGGCTTGGGGGAGGCCTTCATCCAGCAGTGGATAGAACACGGCAGATGACGGCAGAGTACGCAGTCGGATGAGACGCGGTCACCTATCAGCGCACGGCGCTTACAAGCCCGGCCGCCCGAGCTCGACTCGCGACTAACATCAGTGGCATATACATATATACAGTATATCAATTGGTACTGGGCGTCCCCTAAGTCGACTCAGCATTAAATGAGCACCTGGTGCGGTGAATACAAATCAGCGCCGTGACTGCCTTCATAGCTGCTTGCTATTCCTGCAAGACAAACAGTCACGCACTTGTATTACGCGGTGGCTTTAAAGTATGTTTTTTTTTCCCCACGTCTGATATCAACTGAACTTCAAACTCTTGCCAAATATCCCGGGGTGCATACCGTCTAGGTATGTGCATAGCTACAAGCGTTATGGCCAGGTCACCCTGAATACACCCGACATCTTTGTTTGCCTGTGGGCAGCTGCAGAGAACAACACGAGTAAAGCAAATGGTCCCTTAATTGGCGCTGATTTGAATTTGATCAAAGGCAATGGTCGTACAATTCTTGCACTTGCGTTGCTTTTTTTGTCTCAAACACAGACGTTTTGCGCAGTGTGCCACGTGACCACGAATCTATACACTTAAAAAAAAGACATAGAATTTGCATATAGACTCAAAATACACACTGTCATCTGCTCGTGCGCGTTAGCAGTTTCATTTCCGAGCATATTATTGTACGCTATATATTTCACAGAATGCTGCTAGGCTGGAGTGATGGTTATTGGTGTAAGGGACTGCGACTAGAGTACAAGGTGTGCCCATCGATAATACAAATCATTACTGCACCCTATATATACCTATAATCATATGAAATGGTTTACAGGAGTATGTATGTTGAACTTCTTTCACACCGTACATAGCCAACTGCGCGTACCGGAGGTGCGGGGAAAGGACAACAAACGCAACACAAAAAAGATTTTAAATAATTTAGTTTTCAAAATAGATTATTTAAAAGTGCAGAGCTCAAGTGGCTTACCAATATCGGAAGGAAGAGCGTTCCAGACGGCCGCAGGAGGGCATCCAAAAGCGAGCGATGCAGTGACCGTCTTTGTTCGATGGCCAGCAGCCAAAAGCCGCTGCGAGCTTGACCACCGGAGTTCACGCGATGGTGATGATGACACAGTGAGGAGAGAATAACGCGAGATGGATTGTGGTGTGCCAATATAATTCACGGAACAGCGTTCCGGGACTATGTCTAACTGAAATGATGCTCTCACTCGCTAGCCGGGTGATGGTAGCTCCACACGTGGCCGGCAATCCAACACTGTGGAAAGCGAAGGTTAGTGTATCGCACCAATAATGTGAAACCCTCTTCCCGCGGGCGTCGAGAAGGTGCCATACCCGACAATTAGTCAATTTTCAGTACAGCGAATGGACTAATCGCCATCTCTTTACATCTGTGTGGAGATCGAGTGTTGCACCCTCGCGCGAAGTGTGAGCTTCCTTCCACGTGTGTAATAAGCGCGCATCATTAATTTGTTTAAAACATCTTCATATACAAACCCAATGTAGCAGGGCCTTCCGAGGATAAATAAGTGAAATAAGGTATTATATTATGATGCCACTGCATCGCGCTCTTTCAGATGCACTTCTGCGGCCGTCTGGAACGCTCTCCTCTCCGATATTAGGGAGCCACTGGGAGCTGCGTGCTCTTCTTAAGTCTAGATCGAAAACTCACTTCTTTCGAACTGCTTTTTGGCATCGAGTTGGTTGTCTTTCGCCCGCACCTCCGATTAGCGCGGTTAGCTACGCACGGCGCGAAAAAAGTTCATCGCACGCGCGCACGAATGTGCGTGCGTAACGCAATTAGTAAAAACAAAAAGTCTCATCGTGGTGCGCGGAAGGCCAGCCACTCTCACCGGTCGCTTGATTGATGAGACCTCGCGTTGCCCTTGCGGGTCTCGGGCTGAGCCGATTTTGTCCTGTCGTCAGCAGCTAATCTCCGCTATTACTTACAGCAGCCGGGCTAATGCGCTCACGTCTCAATCTTCTTTCGGGAAAGCACTCCCCCGCGGTTTGCGCTGGCTCAGCTTAAGTGGGAATTAAGCAAATGTAAGCAAAACTCCATTCTGTGTCTCGACGTACAGAGAGTATAGATAATGAAACGTACACTCTGTATGCATTTAGTTCATCGGACTATTGGCATTCCTGACCGACGTCAAGCTGCATTTGTTAAAGCGAGGAAACTCTGGAACGGTTTTCAACATTCCAGCTCTCGTCAGCAGTGTCGAATTAAGCTAGTGCGGGGCCTGTCGCATATGTTATAAAGGGGCCCTAAAATAAAAAAAATAAAACCACGTAAATATTCGAACACAAATGTTTAACTTGCATAGTTAAGTAATTGTATTTTTTCATTTGCTATACAGCCAGATAATACCACAAATCGCTAAACTTAAACACCCAATCGTTCATAAAAGTTGAAGGCACTATAGTACTATAGTAAGAGAGCAAGTGCAGAATCACTGAACCGGAATTGATAGCTTGAAAGCATTTAGCGCGGGGCCCTTCAAAGTGCGGAGCCCGTAGCAACATATGTAGCTACTATTGCTACTAGGATAATCCGGCACCGCTCGTCAGCAAGAGTCTGGGCTTGTTAAACAAATGCTGCCAGATTACCAGATGTTCCTGGCAAGAGCACACCTTTAAAAAAATTACGGGACCTCCAATACCGTCCACAAATTCATTCGGTACCGCATTGCTTGTGGAGCAATATAAGCAGAACTCCGTTCTCTCTCTCTCCACGTGTGAATTAATATGGTCAGACCATCAGCATAATGGCTTTCTAGACCAGCATTATCAAGCAGTATTTGTTTAAGCAAGCATACGTCTGGACCTATTTTAATATTTTGGGTTTCACCAGCAGTCAGGCTTGTAAAAAAAAAAACACCTTGTGGAATTACAGCGAAGCTTCGCTCCTACATATGCACGACTCGCAGGCAATGATATAATTTGCATTCGCTAAACAAAGGTTTAGTTGTTGCAACACCGTTGCGGGCCCGGCGAGCCACACCGAGAGGTCCCAACAACAGGACGCATTAACAACAACAACAAAATCCGCAAGCATGCATTGCGGACGCGGCGGAACCACGTGAAAGGGGGCGAAACGAAAGGGAGTCCCCCCCCACCCAGGTGGCCCAGCCAAGTGGGGGACTTCGCGAAAGGGGGGAAGGTGACAATTTAAATGGGGGGGGAAGGGGAGACAGGGAGGGGGAAAGTATTTGTATATTTTAAAATAGGAACACGTCACGGCTCTAATGGATAATGGTCGACGGTCAAGGATATTGACGGAGTGGCAGCCGAAGGCCGCACGTTAAACGGCGTCCGAGAGGGACACCTCCTTGCCGGGATGGTGCGGTTCAGACAGCTCGTGGTCGCCAGGTGCTGGGTGGATCGATGCTAAGCGGGGCTGTGAGAGATGGCAGGCAGAAGGTCTACCATGGCTTCGCCCTCCTGCCAGCCCTGTCTGTCGGGCATTCGTTTAAATGTGGTGTAAAGTCCTCTCAGATGACCGCATTGACGTAGAGCTCGCTGTACGCCATACAGATGAATCGATTAATACTATTTTAGAAGAGGCGTTGTGGATAAGCATATTAGGCGTGACTCATGCGTTGGCGAACACGTGGCCATTTCTCAAGCAGAATGAGGCATTTCACCATCCGCCGTGTATCTGTCTTGTCAAGCAGTGGATATGACTCATGGGCAGTGATTAATGTAAACATTAAGAGTCTGGAACGTTCCGGGAATCACATTTTGGCACGTCACGTCTGTCACTTTACTTTGTTCATCAGTCATTTTTTACCAACGTGTTCATACTCTATGGTGACGGTAATTTAGGGTACAATAATATAGGATTATTATGGATAAGCGTAATTTGTACTTTAGTGGTAGTGCCTTATGCCGATAATCCCTGCTCAAAGCCAGCCGAGCACAGTTGAGAAAAGTAGGCGAGTGAGAATGAAAGTCCCGATCATAGTACCGTTGCAGTACTTTATCAATAGCGATTGTAGATATAACGATTCATAGATTATTATCGTCTCTTACGCTCGCTCCACATGCAAACGAATCGTATTTGTAAGAATTGATGTTTGTTTTCGGTATGTTGCGTATAATGGGCCCACGTGGGTCCACGTGACCCCTGTCACAGCCACTAGTGGTCGCTCCATTCACCTGTCGTGTCCGTTCGATTCGATTTCCTGGCGCGACAGTTAAAGCAACGGGCACCTTTCTTGAATCTCCCCACTTCTGTCCACACAGCTGAAAAAAAAATCGGTACACCGCGGTTCGTCGGTCGTCATCTCTCGTGTGGTGGGAGTAAAGTGTGGGTCACTTACACCTCTTCCGAGACGCCTGGGCAGCGTGGAGGAGGTCAACTCGCCTGTACAAGGGCTCTCTAAAGCTCCCTTTAGTGGAGGCGCTGCTGCCAGCAGTGGCGTGAGAAGGAAACATTTTGCAAGGCTGAGCCTTTACCTTTTGAGAAACACTCAAAACCGTGAGCTGTAAAAAAAAACACACACAATCGAGGTAAGAGTGGATTACTTAAAATGCTGCTTTTTTTCTTCATTACGTTGGGTTTCATTGCTTACTTGTCAAGCGTATGAATATTTTATGTGCAGTTGACTTGTCTCGCAAAACTTCTCAAACCATTAGGCGAGCAGTACTTAATGTGCGCCGTTATATTTGCAGATTTAACCGCCCTTGGCTTGATGGATGAGCAATCTAGACGTTAGTACGGGAGAGATTTAATGGAATGTCAGATATACTAATAACCTCTAGCGGTGGCTATGTAAACATAGCCTAAGTTTTAATTACTCATTTATATTGGTTTCTTTGGTGGATTTCAAATAACGCTTCACGCTGTGTGCTAATATTATGACCAGGCACTATCTCGGGGCTATATATGTATATACTAATGAAAAATAAGAATAGGTTGTATCCTTCCTGGCAACAAAACAGATTTTAGGATGTTCAAACACCAAATTGATACATTTTGCAGGGCTGATCAAGTCCGCATTTACCACCCTTGTGGGTTATAATAATATCACACTATATGATGCTGGCTGACTGGCTGGAGAGAGGGAGGGATGGACGGATGGAAGGTGACATCTAAAGAACGTGTGGGCTGCTCGTAATTCTAAATACACACACACACATATATACCCCGCCAAAACGGTTGGGGTGCGTTATATCTCACAAAACTCAACACACTGATGAAAGATTTTAACGCAACCATCGATACACTTTATCCAATTTAGCCGGTCGCATTTGCTTACAACACTTAATAACGCATAAGCCAAGGTCGTCGGAAATAAGAGGGTCAATTATAAACCAAATGGGGTATTCATACACGGATCACTGTGTACATGTGTTGACGTCATGGCGTATGGATGGACGGTGTTGCAGCCTTCCAAATGCTTGTGGTGTGAACAGGATGATCCATTTATAGATATCTCACTTTTTTCTCGTGACCCTCTTTCCTCTCGTAGTTCATAGTTCCATTTATTTTGGTATAGCCCCGTGAGCCATTCGGCTCTTGAATCGGGTGCAACCGCAACAAACAAAAAACAAAAACACGAACAACAAAACATCTTAAAGTGACTATGTGTGACTGTGCAAACAGAAAATCCAGGAAAAAAACCATCAAAATATTCCTGAAATAGCACCGTACACCAACGCTGTGTGCAAAAATCCTAGTGGGATGCAAGTCAAACAACAACAACAAACAACCACAAGACAACTAAGATTAAGGCCATCAGTCTAACTCCGTACTACAATAAAAAAACATGGTCAAATCAAAAAACGTTTTCGAAATCACCAAAATAAAGCCATCAATGCAATGTAACAGTGATCATAGGGACTGTGACCGAATTTTTAACAATAAACTACATAAATAACATGTAACACCAAACCCTAGAGCCACAGCTCTAGGGTTACAACAACAGGAGCATCAGTCGGAGTATCACATTCTCAACAGGTGGTTGAATATTCTAGATTTGAAGCTTTCGTGACTGCAAGGATCCATACTCTTTGGTTCTATTCGGTAAAGTCACGTAGGTAAAAAAATAAAACTACAAAAAATCACGACGTTTCGGCCACAACACAAGTGGCCTTCATCAGGTGAAGGGACCGGACTGTCCAGTGGACAGCGTTGGAGTGAAAACAGCCAAGCCCAGGTCACGTCCTTTAAGCTGTGTGGGAGGAAACAAAAGCGCCTTGACAAAGGAATTAGCATAAAAATGAACATGATGCACGTAGGAGGTACATGATGGACCGGCGGGGGGGGGGGGAGTTTACATAATGTTGGTGTGAAGGGAAAATAAGCAGCTGTGAAAGTTTGGGATACCACTACTTGAAAAAATATACTGTACCATTGAAAATTAGTTTAATGTTTGGTTTGATTTAGAACATCTTTCCAATGATTGCTTAATTTGGAACCATCCTCTCGGTTGAAATTGTGTCTGTGTTTGTAAATCTGAATTGCCTCGTGGACAAATCTCTGATAAAAACCCATGGGTTTGCAGAGAACCTTGGTATCGGAGAAAACTATATCGGGAATGTTGTACTGCTAAAGCGATGACTCCGTATATTACAAAGGGGAGAGTGTGTGCGCGTGTTCTTTTTTTTATTGGTTTAATGTGCCATGAGATGTTTGGGAGACGTTGAAATCAATGCTTAGCGTTCGCCCCTAACGTCTAACCTATTATTTCAATTGGGGTATCTGTACACGGATCGCCATGTATTATACATAATCACATTGTAGCAGGGCTTCGGGTGGGGGGGGGGGGTCACTTCAGCGTACAAAAGGGTCGCGGTGAAGGGCGAATGAACGCGTGGTGCTTAGGCGGGCACGTACACACACATGGGTTGGTGTTGAGTGAAGCAGGGCGCGTGACACGTGGGAGAATGCGAATGGTTGTGATGTGTGCGCGGTGTGTCTACTCAGCGCTGAAACGCATAATCTCGGAAGCGTCTCCACGAAACAGTCGGTATCGAGCAGCTATGGTCAATCCACTGCTGGACGAAGGACCATCCCTAAAGCTACCGCCACCACCTATTACGATTCTGAGATGCAATAATATCAATAAGCCATAACAATCATACACAAAAATAAATTACAAAAACGAGCGGACCTTTATTTTCTTAACCAGGCTAGATCCCCTTGATATTACGGGTCCTTTATTTAAAGGGAGACCTCCGTTACAAAAGAAAAATGTGTACAGACAACGTTGTAGTTTTTTTTGTCAATCCACTGCTGGATGAGGGCCTGCCCGCACAGCGTCGGTTATAGTGTGGCGTCGTTCGATCGTGCCTCGCCATTCTGCACAGAGGGGGCTACCCAGGGCCGGTTGTCAACTCGCCACTGATGTTAGCCGGAGCCGAGAGTTCAATCTAGACACTCGCCGGGTTTAATTCACGATCCGCTAAACCAGTGCGCCACCACTCTAGGAGAAAAAAAAAATCCGATTTTCACAAATGCTTCGGTGGGGACACCAGCCTTTCTGGAAACCACCTGCTGGACTGTTCTGGAAAAATCAGGACGAGTGTTGGCCTCATCACCCACTCGCCCAGCCCCGGCGAGCCCGAGGGACGTGGCTGAGTGTGATTGAAGAGGCGACCCTGACACGAGCTGCTGCTGCTACTATATGTGTGGGATGGCTTTTGTGTGTGTTCATGTCTTCAAAGCCGCAGGTGATATATGCGCATGCGGTACATCAATATCAATGACGGAATGACGTTACCAATTATTATTCATGTATCCGGAACAGATTTCAGTGACGTCTCGAGACTCGTTTGTATGAGAAAACCACTCATCAATAAACATTGCCCTAAACAGAACACAAATATATTTAAAAGGCGACGATTCTGGCAATCGCTCATCTTTATAGCAGCCATGGGTCTTGCTTCCAATATTTGGACTATTCCATGTATGCATCCGTAATACAGGTTTTGTTGGATTAGATTGCGTAAATATATAAATGTGTCGTTAAACCCGCCACCACCCGACACAGCCAATTAGCAAGGGTTGTCACTTAAACATGCCAATTCGTTACTCGTATAGCACACCGGTGTGTTGGAGAGCAAAGCCACAACATTTACAATCTGAGTACGGAGTTTCGATTTAAGCACCTTTTTTAAAGTAAACTGGAGTGCCCAGGAAATCTTCGGACACGTCGCATTAAGCACACGTACTTGTGGCAAAACATAACAACAAACATGCTCTGATAATAATACATGCCTTGCCTTTGAAGCTGATTGGCCTACACGAGAGACAGCCTTTGGTATGACCTTGCCTCACCAGTGTCAGACCAGAGAGCGGCAAAAGGCCACTTGATGCCTTTGTAAAAGATATCTATTTGTTTGTTTGAATATCTCAACACATAAATCTTGACTTAAAGCTTTCGTGACTGCAGGAATTCATGTTCTTTGGGTCTTTCGGTAAAGTCACGTATATAGGTTCAAACCTATATGCGTTAACACATGTTTTTTTTTTAAGCCAGAAAGTGGTAAAACCTATTCTTATTTTTCGATTTAAAGCTTTCGTGACTGCAATGATTCATCTTCTTTGGTTCTTTCGGTAAAGTCACGTAGAATGAGAATAAAATAATAAATTCATAAAATAAAATAACACAATAATATTCTCACGACGTTTCGGCCACAACATCCATGAAGGCCGCTTGTGTTGTGGCCGAAACGTCGTGAGAATATTATTATGTTATTTTATTTTATCAATTTATTATTTTATTCTCATTCTATTCTTATTTGTCATACTTTTATAAAGGGTCTCCTTTGCTCTACGCCGGTGGTTGTCAAACTTTGTTGGCTACTGTACATCCCTTGTAGAACTTTGTTTCAACCGAGGACCCCCTTGACCGACCCAACATGGTTCTAATAAATACACGTCTGAATAATATAACCAACATCTATATTTTAACCAGTTGTTCATTTTGTGAGGTTTCCAAACTAGCTAGTAACTGCCAGCAATTTAAAAAAAAGGATGCTCTGCATGCGTGACGCAATATGTTCGCGGTCGCTGGTTACTCTTGGAAACCGCATTGTTTACGAACAACGAGTTTAGAAAGGGCCTATTATATCGTTCTCGGTTACCGTACGGATGCAAACAAAGTTTTTGTCGTGGTTATTTTACATTGGCAAATCCACAGGCGATTATTCACCGATGACTCTCATCATGAGTGATGCAATTTTAAATCACCTCCCGTACCCCACTCGCACATTGCCACGTGTACCCCCCCCCCCCCGGTAAGGGGGGGGTCGTACCCCCCCCCACCCCCCCCCCCCCCCCCCTTTGAGACCATCACTGCTCTAAAGTGCCACGCACTTGCTCGAGAGGGCGCTGTGAGGCCGAGTGGATGGACGCGCTCCTCCGCCGCGTTTAGCGCTCGAGATATATTTACAGCCAAGCTGGACAGGCGGCCCATGCGTGTGACCAATCTCTCTACTCGCCCTCCCGCCCGCCCGCCCTGTCTGTACGAACTGGAGAGGCGGGGAATCACGGAGTATAACTCTCGTTAAAGATCATCCGACGCGAAGGGAAGTTTAGTTCGTGGTCGTTCAGCGTTTGTCCAAAACAGTGGAGACGCGAGCCAGAGCGAATAAGTGAAATTATTGCCGCCAATGCTGCAATGGCAAAAACGCAATTTTGCACTCACAAGTCACTAGCACGTTGAGTTCCGTGTTGCCAATGCGGCCATTCTCTTGGACAAGCTCACGTTGGAGGAGCGTTCCGGAATCCATGTGTGTGGAATTATTATTTTTTACGAACCGGTGTCCGATTCCGCGTGATGCAGTCCACTTGTAACGTTCTGACCCCGTGCTCCTACTGGACATCTGTAAAAAAAAAAGAGCTTTATAGCTCATCCAGTATAAATACAGTATTCCGATTAAATAATCATTGGCGTCTGGGGTGAAAACACACAACGCATTGCACTTTAGATACTTGCCCTCCCCTACGATCCCCCCCCCCCCACATCTACCCTCTTTGTACCCCCAGCGAGAGTAAACAGAACCATCACGACCACTCTGAGCCGCTAACTTAGCCCTCGGGCATTTTCGAAACATCTTGTTCCGAGTCTGACTCTTTCCCTCGGTGCAATGTATCCTCTCATCTTACCGCTGTTTGTTTACAGCAAAGTTAGGGGGGGGAGTGGGAGGGGCGGGGTGAAGGTGGTGTGGTGGTTAGCGCACTGCGGTAGTGAGAAGCATTTCGCACGTTCGACACGATGCACTGTGCACACCATGCACGGCAGCATGGATAGTTTTGTTGTCACCGATCGTTTGGAAGACTCTTGGCCAGCATATGCGGGGTTTTAGCGTGAAGAGGGAGCCTATTTACTCGTTTCCGTCCGTGTATAATTTTGTTTAAAAAAAGATATAACACACGTTGAACGCTGGAAATACACCAGCACGGGTGTTACATATACAACATTTTAGATATTAATTCATGGGAATGTTGTGAATGTTTGCACAAGCCAGACCACGAATGAAAATGGCAGACCACACACGAAGCTTGTGCACATCAGAGATCACTGAACTGTTTGGGAAGAATGTGCTGGTCTGAGCCACCGTACAGCCCAGATCTGGCACCCTCAAACTTTCATCTGCTGGGCCGTTTGAAGGATGGCTTTGACGGGCAGAATTTTAAAAATGACTTACACACAAGTCGCAACACGGTTATGCGATGCTGATGAATCATCATACGTTGATGGAATACTGCCCCTGATTTCACACTGGCACAATCGCATTGCTAAAAATATGTATACACAGAGGCAAAGGCGCAGCCCTGCAATTGTTTGCTGAAGCCACTGCATGGGGAAGGGCCTAGACTGGGGAGAGCTTTAATAGAGTCCTTGTAGAGCGTATTTTGGCCTACAAATTCCAGCCTGGACAAGACGCATCGGAAAAGGTCGGATTACCTACGCTTTACCCCACCACACGCAACTTGCTGATTGACTACATGCGATTCACCCATGCGTACTAAATAGCAGGGGAGTTTCAAAGACTTAACCATTGTCACATTTCCAGTGACTGAACATCGAAAAGTTATTTTATTTAACAATTAATTATAGGGGCAATTTAGACAACGAAAGAGTGTCAAAATGGGGCATCGCTAGCAGGTTCAAACTTCAAAATGTTCCGATTTAAAGCTTTCGTGACTGCAAGGATTCATCTTCTTTGGTTCTTTCGGTAAAGTCACGTAGAATGAGAATAAAATAATAAAATAAAACAATAAAATTCTCACGACGTTTCGGCCACAACACAAGTGGCCTTCTTCAGGTGAAAGGAACAAACCTGTCGGGACGACAGAGCTGCAATTGTAGCGTCGTGAGAATTTTATTGTTTTATTTTATTATTTTATTCTCATTCTACGTGACTTTACCGAAAGAACCAAAGAAGGTACAAAAGTGTTCGTTTTAGCTCCAACATAGGATCAGATTTTTCCACGGAGAAAGCGCTGTCGCTTGGCATCACAACAGCTCACTCCTGCCATTAAGCTTAATTCCCATGCAGGCGCAAGGGAAAGAGCACGCGATATTTAATCGAAATGGATTTCCTCGGCAGCCCATTGCGTCAACCGAGGTGCATTACTTCTGGACAATATACGCACCGTGTGCACAAGTGAGCGAGACGCAAAGGGCCGTACAGTGAGGGAAAAAAGTATTTGATCCCCTGCTGATTTTGTACGTTTGCCCACTGACAAAGAAATGATCAGTCTATAATTTTAATGGTAGGTTTATTTGAATAGTGAGAGACAGAATAACAACAACAAAATCCAGAAAAACGCATGTCAAAAATGTTGAAAAATTGATTTGCATTTTAATGAGGGAAATAAGTATTTGACCCCCTCTCAATCAGAAAGATTTCTGGCTCCCAGGTGTCTTTTATACAGGTGACGAGCTGATCTCAAAGGGAGTGCTCCTAATCTCAGCTTGTTACCTGTATAAAAAGACACGTCCACATAAGCAATCAATCAATCAGATGCCAAACTCTCCACCATGGCCAAGACCAAAGAGCTCTCCAAGGATGTGAGGGACAAGATTGTAGACCTAAACAAGGCTGGAATGAATTTTGATTTAAAGCTTTCGTGACTGCAGTAATTCATATTCTTAGTTTTTTCGGTAAAGTCACGTTGAAGAGAAACAACAAAATAACAAAATATATATAAAACAATATTTTGTTATTTTGTTGTTTCTCTTCAACGTGACTTTACCGAAAAAACTAAGAATAAGGCTGGAATGGGCTACAAGCAGCTTGGTGAGAAGGTGACAACAGTTGGTGCGATTATTCGCAAATGGAAGATACACAAAAGAACTGTCAATCTCCCTCGGCCTGGGGCTCCAAGCAAGATCTCACCTCGTGGAGTTGCAATGATCATGAGAACGGTGAGGAATCAGCCCAGAACTACACGGGAGGATTGTGTCAATGAGCTCAAGACAGCTGGGACCATAGTCACCAAGAAGACAATTGGTAACACAATGCGCCGTGAAGGACTGAAATCCTGCAGCGCCCGCAAGGTCCCCCTGCTCAAGAAAGCACATATACATGCCCGTCTGAAGTTTGCCAATGAACATCTGAATGATTCAGAGGACAACTGGGTGAAAGTGTTGTGGTCAGATGAGACCAAAATGGAGCTCTTTGGAATCAACTCAACTCGCCGTGTTTGGAGGAGGAGGAATGCTGCCTATGACCCCAAGAACACCATCCCCACCGTCAAACATGTAGGTGGAAACATTATGCTTTGGGGGTGTTTTTCTGCTAAGGGGACAGGACAACTTCACCGCATCAAAGGGACGATGGACGGGGCCATGTACCATCAAATCTTGGGTGAGAACCTCCTTCCCTCAGCCAGGGCATTGAAAATGGGTCGTGGATGGGTATTCCAGCATGACAATGACCCAAAACACACGGCAACAAAGGAGTGGCTCAAGAAGAAGCACATTAAGGTCCTGGAGTGGCCTAGCCAGTCTCCAGACCTTAATCCCATAGAAAATCTGTGGAGGGAGCTGAAGGTTCGAGTTGCCAAACGTCAGCTTCGAAACCTTAATGACTTGGAGAAGATCTGCAAAGAGGAGTGGGACAAAATCCCTCCTGAGATGTGTGCAAACCTGGTGGCCAACTACAAGAAACGTCTGACCTCTGTGATTACCAACAAGGGTTTTGCCACCAAGTACTAAGTCATGCTTTGCAGAGGGGTCAAATACTTATTTCCCTCATTAAAATGCAAATCAATTTATAACATTTTTGGCATGCGTTTTTCTGGATTTTGTTGTTGTTATTCTGTCTCTCACTGTTCAAATAAACCTACCATTAAAATTATAGACTGATCATTTTTTTGTCAGTGGGCAAACGTACAAAATCAGCAGGGGATCAAATACTTTTTTTCCCTCACTGTACATAGCACGTATAACGGGGTTTTTTTTAGATATGTATATTTTTGGCAAACATACGGTTCGGTAAAATTAATCTGGGGCTCAATTACGCGCAATTACTGCGAGTTATGTATCACACCTGAAAGCGGCGATAGATTTTTGTTTGTTTGTTATAAACGCGCCGCCCGCACGCGCCACCACCGAACGTGTGACCCATTTCATCGAGAATTTAAATTCACGGGAGGCGCTTCATATTTCTGTGCAGCTGTTTTTTTTTTTGCGTTTAAATCTGTCAGCGCGCGGGACTAAAATGGAGATTGATTGTGTTGGCGAATGCTCTCGCGTATGCGTCCCCATGAAACATCTGCATGTCAACCGCGAAACGTTGACTTCCCTATTCTCTCAGGCCAGAGGTCGGCAGACCTGTGTCTCCAGAGCCGCTGGCGGCTCTCGCACCTACCAACCCATACGGTTTACCCGTATTCTTGTACAGGGAAATTGAGTAAAAAAATTAAAAACACGCGTTTTTTTGTTTATTTGTTTTTGTTTCTCCCTTGTGATGGGACTTTGTAGGATGAACGTTGAGATTTATAAGGGGCACGGGGTGACCAGTAAGGTATGAATTTGGCTGTAAAAAGGTAGGGCACTGATAATGGGTTGACAGCTATGGGCTCATATTCTTAGCTATTTCGGTAAAGTCACGTTGAAGGGAAACAATAAAATAATAAAATATCTATAAAACAATAAAAATTCTCACGACGTTTCGACCATAACACAGACGGTCATCATCAGGTGTGATAAAACCAACGGCACTCCTTTCAAATGTTTCTTGCCGTTGGTTTTTTTCACACCTGATGATGACCGTTTGTGTTATGGTCGAAACGTCGTGAGAATTTTTATTGTTTTATATATATTTTATTATTTTATTGTTTCCCTTCAACGTGACTTTACCAAAAGAGCTAAGAATATAAATTACTGCAGTCACGAAAGCTTTAAATCAGCTATGGGCTCTTTAAGGACTCCTTCGTGATGTCCTTGGCGTGCATCGCGGACCTCTTGAATTTTTAGAGGTTTTTTTTCTACCGAATTCGAAAAAAAAGTGGCTCTGCTTGTTGTTTTGGTTGTCCCCCCCCGCTCTGCCTCAGGCGTAACGGCACCTCTTGAGCGCCTTAACCGTTCTGTACCCGTGCAGTCCTAAACTTTGTATTTAATGACCTTGTAAGGGGTTTCGGGTGGGCTTGTTGTCGTTGCGCGTAATGAAGGGCCTAACGTTGCGTTTCGAGGCGCTGTACGAAAAAGTGGGGTTCGTGTGTTACGTGCGGCACGAGGTGCTTGGTGCGTAACCACTGCGTAAGGGTTTTTGTTGTTGTTCGCGGTTGTGCCTGTGTGGCTCGCTGACGTGTTGAAATCCCAGGCTTGTACCGCTTGTACAACCCAAACAGGCCTCTGGAGCTAAGGGGGATGCGTACTCTCTATCCTACGTTTTTTTGAGAGGCAGAAGTCAGTCCATAGGCAAAGAAGAGTAAGGTCTTGAAACTGGATTTGAAGTTGACAGCACGGGTGGCTGTGGGAGGTTTATTACAGATTATGAGGGCAGCAGAAGAGAAGGAGCCACGTCCTACAAACCAATAGTTGACTTGCTGGAGTTAGTCGCGCAGTGGATCGTGTAACCGCACTCACATGAACTCACTGAGCCGATGAACACATCCAGCCATGGCTCACAACAGCGGCTAACATCAATGGCGAGTGATATATAAACCGAGCCTGACCCCCCTCCCCACCCTTGTGACAAACCCACACCGACCAGCGTGGTGACGTACGACCCACAAACACCCCCGTGACCGTCACGGCATCATTGGGAGGCCATCAGCCAGAGGTGGATTGATAAGTTATTATCATAAAGAGGTATCAGATGAGTGCGCAAAGCATGACTTATGCAAACACGTGGCTACGTCTCAGCAACAACAATGAGACAAAGTCCTGATGCGATGTGTTTGTGTCTTGCAAATACGTGAATATGACCCCGTAGTGGCTTTGTCAGCCGTGATTATATAGATGTGACGATTGATAGATTAACGTCAATTGTTTGGGCTCACGCACACATGAGATCGAGGTTTTTAAGAATAAATGTTTTTAGTTTCCAATCTCCGCTGTTAGTCGATGGCCAGGTCGCGTGTGGTGGGGTAAAGTGTGGGTAACTCCCACGCCTACCAAGACGTCTGGCCAGCGTGGGAAAACAAGACCGACCAATATTCCCTCTAGAGGAGCTTCCTTTCGCTCTCTCTTAGCAGAGACCCTTCCCGCTAGCAGTGGCTCGAGCAAGCAATTGCAGGGGCTGCGCCTTTATTTGTGTTTCGCTTGCACACGTGTTATGTAATGGGTTCACAGGGGCTCACGTGACCCCTGTACTCACGATCGGTAGCTGCATGCGCTCTGAAAGGGGAGAAGGATATTTTTTTATGCGCATATTTCTATTGCCAGTGATCTGTTTTGTTTATTGTGGGTCATAGTCCCGAGAATGTGTTGAGCAATTGGCTTCCAAAGCCTAATTGGCAGAGGCGGAGATGTGAAATGGCTCCGTACAAGCGCAGCCCTATGTTTGGACATGTTTGTGCGCGTGCCATGTGCCACGTGTTATTTTTGCCTTTCAGGCCAATTCACGCACCCCGCACGCCCACTCCCACACACGTGCGCGCTCAGCTTCGTTATACGTAATCACAAATAATTGTAACCAGACCCGTAACCTGGGTTCGCACGCAATGTTTTTACGACAGAGAGAGAGAGAGAGCAGCTGCTGCATCCAGTCGATTATTAAGATTATTCATTACAGTATTTTGTGGGTGACGAGACGTTCCGGAAAGTAAGACGCACCCCAAACGTATGCCCGGTGTCAATGAAGTTCAACAAATCTGATGACACACACAGCCCCCCACCCCCCCGCTCTCAACTATTGCTTTAAATTGATTGGAAAAGTGCGTCATAATCCGGAGAATAGGGGAAGACAAAACAACATTTGATTAAATATGCAGCGAGTAGTGGCACTGTGGTTAGCACACTGCACTATGCAACTGAAAACGAATTTCTTCAGAACTTATTTTTTGTTTTGAGTTCGTTGTCTTTCCCCCTGCACCTTCGACTTGCACGGTTGGCTACGTATGGTGCGAAAGAAGCTCAGCATACATACGTGCAGACAAGTGGCCGACCAGCATTTGATTCCCGGCCACGGCCACCAAGAGTGGCGAGTGGCATCTGAACCGGTCCAGCCTCCACGCTTCTGCTCCCCTTCACAAGCACGCACTGCCCAACGTAGTCGGGAGTTACGGCCGAGCAAATCGCATGACCCACACAGTGCGTGGGGCGGCATTCGCCCGGTAAGTGAATTGACAACGGGGTTCTCATTTATTATCGATGCAAAATATTTAGCCCCGGGAAGCCTCACAGTGTCCTGGGACTCTCGGGAGAGTCCTTCATTGGCATGTTTGACAAATTATATTGTTCGTGGGAGGAAACCAGATAACGGGGCCCAGAGGAACAACCCACGCATGTGAGAGGGGTAACACTTATTAACTCTGCAATAGTCAAGCAAAACATTTTTGCAAGCTATGCACGAATATTCACGTTTCCCTAATGGAGTGGATGGGACAGAACGCAGCAGAAACATACGTGACGCGCGGTACAGAATGTGCGATCCTGCCACGGTGCTCATGGTCTCCCGGCACGACCGCTGACATGACGGTGCGGGTTTCTTCAATGGCCCCCAGCAGTGTATGAATGGGTTCACCAAAATTGGACCGATGACCGACAGGTCGCGGTTGCTGTTGGGTACAATTTGGGATACTCCCAGCAAGTGCTTCTTCTAGCCGCCACTGCACAGTACGTACTCGCCTAACGCGTTTTCAACGCGACGCGTTTTGCTTCTATTCGGGAACACTTTTCGCGCAGCGCGGAACACGCCCCGCTATAAGGTTGTGCGCGCCCCCGTTATAACGTGGTTTCGGAGCAGTCAACGGCGTGCTACCTTCTTGAGCTGTGCGGCTGAGCGACGAGATACAGCACGTGGTACGATCGCAGCGTGCTGCGGCGTAGTACCCTCATCACAGTTCTTTGTCCCGCCGTGGGATGACTGCAGGACGCTGTGGTGCAAAATGCCATTCAGTCGTCGTGATTGCTCACGCCTCGCGCGGAACTTTTGTGAAACAAGACAACAAGCATCGGTTCGGTGAAATGATCACTGTTCTATGTTTAACAAGGAGATGAAATACACCCATTTAGACAAGTGAAACATTGGCGGTTTTTGTTTTTTTGTTGTTGCAAGGGCGACCTGTGTGACATCAAGTTATTGTAATTGCACTGAGCATATTATAATAAAAATTAAAAATAAACCATTTAAATGCAACGTCGAACGGTGACAATTCATGAGCACTGTGGGCTAGTGTGGGATGGACTTGCCCACAGCTGCAGCGCTATATTTGACGCGGCATTGAGTGCATAGCTGAACTGTCAAAAGTGACAAGTGGGTGTCTAAACCGAGTACACCATGGGTCTCTTTTAAAATGAGTGCCTTGCTGGGGGGGGGGGGTGGGGGGGGTTGAAGCAGCAATCGCAGCCGAGCTTGTGGGGTGATGCTGGCCAAGCAAGCACTCTGTGTGCCTTACCCCACACCGATCGTGTGGTGCTCATCTCAAGTTCGTCTTCTTCTTCTTCGTCGCGTCTCCCGCCCGACCTTTCCCCAATATTCTGCACAGGCCACCGCTTCTGGTGTTGGCATTGGCACATCTTAAGGAGTGCATTGCAGTGCCGCAAGGGATCTCAGGAGATGATCCATGGTTTTGCTCCTTCTGACAAGCACATTTAACAGTTGTGTAGAAGTCCCCCCGCATGATTTCACGAGAGAGTTGTATCTGCCGAAGCCCACTCTTCAGTCTGTTTAGGGTCCGCCATGTGAGCCATTCGGAATTGTAGCCAGATGTGAGCTCCTCACTTGTAGGGGGTGGGGGGGGTGATTCCTTGCCGGCTCCGTTCAGCGGCTTTGTCGCTTGATTTGTTTCCCCATTGCCAGAGGGACGTTGTGGCAGATTCCAGTCATCATCTCAAGTGAAGTTCAGCCAACCCGATAGAAATGCCAACAAATGAGCCCCGTTAATAAGGGCCCGTACGTCGCGTAATGACAGAGAGTGTGGGTATTGTTGGAATGTGCTGTGGGCGCCTTGATATGATCTGAAAGGCGTCATATAAGCTGCAATTCTGATTTTAGTTTTTATTACATGTCAGAAATGTGACTGAAGAATATGTTCACAAAAAAAGATAAAAGTTGTTCCATAAAGCGAAGACGTTTTTTTGTTGTTGCTGTTATTATATTCTGCAGCTATACCTCTGTGCTCTGTGTCCAGAGGTTTCACTTTCATAATTGATTTTAAAAAATTGTGACGGATTATGGTGCTGACACATCATTGCAGTGTGGAACACTTTTTATTTATTCAATTTTACATGAAAGACGATTTCATCATGGCACTTTTGGCAGCCAGCTTGCAAGTGATGGTGGTGGTTGGTCGGTCGGCGGTGGTGGTGCTGAAAGTATTTCGTCAACATTGCATTCATTTCATCGTGGGAGCCCTCCAGAAACAGATGTGTACATCGCGCGTTACAAACCAAAGCACGCAGATGCAGTGTCGTTGTAGACTAACGCTCTTGGATGCATGTCGAGGCACGCCAGAAAACATTGTGATTAGTTCGAACGCGTTTTTCTTAAATGTTTACCTTAATTTACTCCATCAGCAGAGCTTGGATTGGCGGAGCAGTTGCCTTGGACGAGGGCTCCTCTTGTGCGGGGGGACTTTGCAGGAGCTCTGTTGCTAGGGAGGCAAGAAGCGATCAGACTCGGGTGAAGTATGGTTCTGTTGTAACTTAGGTTCAGCGTTTTTGCTTGTTTTAATTTTTAACGGCAACAAAAAAACACCGAGGCCGAATTATTGTTATGCACATTCGGAATGTTTGCCGAAAACTTCAGTTGATTATTCGCAGATTCCACGAATGTTTTATATATATATTTTTTACGAGAATTAGAATTGAAAACACATGCAGATAAATATGTTTACCAAGCAAAACAGTTCTGGAAGAGTGCAGTTTGTGCATTCTGCGAGACTCGTATAGAGTCAGTTTTTCTTTTTCTAAAATAAGTTTAGCTATAAATCACGTAAAGTTAACAATTTAATCAAAATAATCTTTAAATGCAACGTTTAAAAAAATAATATAAAACATTCAAACGTCTTGATTTAAAGCTTTCGTGACTGCAGTGGTTCATATTCTTGGTTCTTTCGGTAAAGTCACGTTGTTTCCCTTCAACGTGACTTTACCGAAAGAACCAAGAATATAATATTCAAACGTCTGTTGGGATTTTCTAAATGTCGAAAATGTGTGGTTTATTCCCCCCACAGGTAACACCTAGGGTTGCACCAACAAAGTCGTAATTAAGAATAACTTTCAGCCCTTTCTCAAATTTGGATCAAGGCCTTCACCATGCAGCGTCAGTTATGGGGGTATGTTTGACCATACTTCACCACACTTAGTTAGTATGGGTTGGTAAAGAAGTTGGTTCAGCTGTCGCTCGCCACTATTAGCCGTGGCCGAGAATTGAACGGAGACCACCGGGTTCAGAGTGGGCAGCGTGCTCACACTTTGGGCGAATATTGAATTCCCACTTAGGTCGTTCGGTTGAATTTGAAGCTACATGGTAACTTTCTGTGTCTCCCCATCTCCACTGAGAGCTGAGGTAACACCGAGCCTCCCTCGTGGCCACACAAAACATTCCAGGGGCCACATGCGGATCTGAGGGCTGTAATTTCAGAGCCCTGATCCCTGACTGCCCGAGCCTCCCACACCACACTCCCCTGTCTCTCACACCTCGCTCCCCTGTCTCCCACACCTCGCTCCCCTGTCTCCCACACCACACTCCCCTGTCTCTCACACCTCGCTCCCCTGTCTCCCACACCACACTCCCCTGTCTCTCACACCTCGCTCCCCTGTCTCCCACACCTCACTCCCCTGTTCCCCACACCTCACTCACCGATCTCCCATACCTCTCTCCCCAGTCTCCCACACCTCGCTCCCCAGCCTCAGACACCTCCATTCTTTTGCCTCCCTTACCGAACTCACTTCCCCCTTGCTTGACCGAATTTAAATACGTAAAAAAAGTAATCCTCTTTACTTCGGGTGGCCATGAGGTCACATGCTCCGTGCGTGGATCCGATCATTATTACATGTGACGAATCTCGCAATGTCAAGTGCTGTGAAACGTCGTCGCTTCTAGTTTTAGTACATTTCATGAGTGACCGAAGTTGGAGAATAAGAAACTAAAATGCAGAAAAAGGTGCGGAGGTGCTTAAACTAAATTTCACTTCAGCCACTTTCGTCTCCTGGCCACTTCGAGGCCCAGTGGTTTTGGAAACTTCACAAGTCTCTGTGTGACCCACCAACCCTCGTTCTAAGCTCTGGATCACAGGCGCCCACTTTGCACCCAGATGTATATCGTAATTGCCAACCGTACCGATTAAAGCGAGTAGGCTGCTAATTTTCAAACCATTTCAACTGCACGCTGATTTTGAAAGCAAAATTGGTCTAATATTTGTTTAGTATTTTGGTACGATTAGCTTTCAACGTCGGTATGTGGTATGAAGATTTAAACATCGGCAGCCTAACGCAAGTGTGCTATCTGCTCCTGTTCGTGCAGCTTAGGATGAGACGGGAGACATGTTTGTTGTTATGTGCATGGTGGTAAGTGCGTGGTATATGGTGGTACGTGCGTGCCGGGTTCATTGAAGTGGTTCATTCTATGCGTGCAAGATGCCCTCACCATGCGTGGCCTATAACTCATTCACCACGGCCACATTTTTGGTATCTATGCCCCTGACACCAGGGTAGACACCCGCCCAATACACATACAGACACTTATACAATTCCTAACCCTCAATGTCACACGGAGAAAATTGAAGGATGAAATTAAAACCTAAAAAAACCAGAAATAAATTAATTACTCGTTTTATTTAAGTATGCTTCATATTAAAATAATGTCGAAAAAAATCACATATTTGCCAATAAAGAAAACTGACGCATTATTTTTTTCATGGGCCGATCTGGATCTTGGACCGTGGATAAATATTCCGACCCCCCCCCCCCCCCCCCACGGCTAAATCCAGGACATGATATTCAGTGTGCAGCACAATGTGTCTTCCACGAAGGAAAACAAACCCAATCTTCAATTGAGCGATAGCCTTGTGCATGAGATAGTGCATCTCAGTGGGCCCGCTACTTCTTTTTTAATTAGTTAAATAATTGATGAATTGATTTGACTACATCAATAGAGCCCGCGGGATGAAATGGAGCTCGTATGTAAATGCAACGAGTGTGAAATAACAATTCGGTTACCAAACGTCCCGGTTTAGCCTGTACAGGCCTGGTGGCAGTCAGAAGCTGTTGTGAAAATTAGGAGGATTTTGTCTCCAGTAATTTGTTAATCTGGCCCCGTGCCACACTCATCATCGTGGCAAGAGGCCGGGGCTACGCGAGTAGTGGGCGGGGCGGAAGGGGGGATGTGGCTGCCAGCTCACCGTCTGTCCCAGCCGAGCCTCCCAGACATTATATAGCCTTAGAATGTTAATTATTTGCAGTACTGGGTTTGACACATGCTTTTCAAATTTAAATAATAATGGTAGTAATACAAAATTCAATCCCTTTATGTATGTATGTTGAACTTCTTTCACATTGTACGTAGCCAACCGTGCTAATCGGAGGTGCGTGGGAAGGACAACAAACTGAGCAGAAGAAGCAGTTCTAAAGAAACGAGTTTTCAATCTCGATTTTAAAGTGCACAGCTCACAGTGGCGTCCTAATATCGTAAGAAATTGGCTGTAAAGTACAAAGTATAACTTATGAATTCCAATGTACATGTACATTGTAAACCCAGTGAAGGACAGCTGTGGCAGTTGTGATACAAGTTGACCTTCGGCTGCAGGAAACAAGCCCAATGTTGAGTCAGCTCTGCATGACATCACCCCCCCCCCCCCCAAGGTAAGACACTCATAACCATTATAGAGTACCTCGAGTCATTGCCATTACACAAGGCGACAACCTTCACAGTAGTGGATGGTATTGGTAGAACGTTAAGAAATATATTTAAGTGTTTAAACGCACACCTTAAAAGACGCGCGTCATTTTGAACTTTAATAACTGCGCAAACATTTCTTGCGATTGAAACTGCCAACATCTTTGAAAAAAAAAATCCACATCCTTCACGGAAAAAGTTTAAACATCTGCGTACCATCATAATAATCATCGAAATAATTGACGAAACTTTGTCAATCCACGGCTGGATGAAGGCCGCCCCAAGCTTATTTTATTTTTGCTTATGGCGATCTGTTCCGGAGATGAATGCCAATGTCGAGATCTTCTCGCCACGGGAGAGCTTCACGAGTTAGAGTTCGTGTAGTTTTGCTGATCCCCCTCTTCCGTTGAAGGAGCGCAGGCCACAGTAGTTTTACTATATGGTCCACAGCTTGTGATGCATGGCCACAATCACACTCCATACTGTGTCGGTTATGATAGTTGTCTGACCATACTTCACCACACTTGTCAGTACGAGTTACTGAAACACGGGGGTATGGCCTAGGAATGTAACTATAATAAAAAAAAATTATGGCCAAGATACAGCATCACGATGCACTTGCAACCTATATATAACGTGCACATAAAAAAGGCAGTGATATATGTGCGGTGTTGTATTCTTTGAGTGACCCGCTCCCACGCTTCAAGACACGTTGCTCTAACACTCGTTCAGACCCCTTCTCCCCGTGCTGCTGCCGCTGCTATGCGTAACCCTGGCAGACGCGCTTATCTGAACCGTGACAAATCCCCGTACGATTTGCTTGCTGTCCAGATGCAATATCGAGTTGCATTCCCGATCGCTGAGTCGGGGTCATTGGTTTGAGACCCCATATCGCCCGTCCAGTAATTGGACAAAGCCTTCACATCCGGGCTTTAGATAGTCTCATTAGTTTGAGAGCAAGCAGCAAATGTTGAACACATTTGTTGGACAGGGCCCCCCCCCCCCCCCTCACATGTTTTGTGGTGCACTCTTGCCAATAAAATAACAGCTGGCAATCCAGCCGCATCTTCAGAACCGATTTTTGTGTTTCGGTTGTTGTCCTTCTCCCGCACATTTGTTTAACAAGTGAGCTTGTACTGATGAGACCCAGAATATTGGTCTGGAAAGCCAATAGGCTGTGGACTGAAGCATATTTGTATTCATACGTGGAGAAACAGGATAGAGTTCTGCTTGTATTAACATAAGTGCAGGTAAAAATTTTATTTAAAGCTTTCGTGACTGCAGGGATTCATATTCTTGGTTCTTTCGGTAAAGTCACGTAGAAGGGAAACAATAAAATAATAAAAATATTTTTTTTAATCTCACGACGTTTCGACTGCAACACAAGCAATCATCATCAGGTGTGAAAACCACAGCAATAATTTTTAATTATTATTTTATTGTTTCCCTTCTACGTGACTTTACCGAAAGAACCAAGAACGTAAGTGCAGGTTCGCCTGTGACAGAGACCCATTTAAGTGGTGGTACAATCGAGACATTTGTCCAGGGCCCAAAACTCCAGAAGGGACCACGAAAAAATACATGAATTCTGTTTTTTTTTTTTTAATTCAGAAAGAGGAACACGTGAGTTTGAATACACGCATATTATGGCACCATTCAGTTCCTGAATATGCTCCAAGTGCATAACGTCGGACATCCCACACCTCCGATTAGCACGGTGGGCTATGCACGGTGCGAAAGAAGTTCAACGTATGGTACAAACATCACGCCGAACAATACGCGGTACAACCGTCTCTTAAGTGTCCTCAAACTGGCAATAAAAGCAAGCGGGCTTGGGCAGCACACGTCGTGGCTAGAAGCGATGATGGCGAATGTTTGAGGACAATGACAGAGTGGGTCAGCTAAAGTACGGAACGACAAAACGTCAATCGAGGAGTACGGAGCAATGAAATCAGTTTGTGTGCTGGTACGTAGCAGTTTCTCCCCGTGGTCGTGTGGATTTTCTCCGGGTCCTCCGGTTCATACCCTCCCTCCTCCTCCTCCCCTCCACATTGAGAATCAACATCACGCGTGTAGAGTATTTGGCTGCTATACATTTCCACGTGACGAGCCACTTCGTTGAGCTATCATTGGTGGCCAGGTCGCTTCTGAAAAAGAGCTACACAGCTCAGTGGGGCTTTACCTGGTAAAAACAAAAAGGTACTTAGTGGTGGATTATCACATCGCAGAATTGCGAGAGATGGCGGCGGCTTGGCAAGGAGGCCTTCCTTCAGCAGTGGATTGAACAAGGCTGATGATAATTACAACGGCCAACGTAGGTTATGTTTATTCGTATGATCGATTTAATATGAAAATATATAAACAATACTTTACCATTTTTAAGTGTTGCGGTTTTCTGACTATTCCATTATTCCTCATTCATTTTCAGAGGGGGGGGGGCGAGGCACTTTCGCCCATGAGGCATCATCAGTGTGAGGGCCGCAACGCATTTGAAACCATTGGGGGTTTGACAGCAACACGATGATGGTGATGATGATTGGGGGGAGGGGGGTGTTTTCACTCTTTGTGTAACGCCGAGTGCCGCATGTCTGGGGCCGCACTAAAGGCAACCAGGGGTTCCCAGTGGCCCGCGGGGCCTTGTGCAATGAAACCCAACAGCTCTATTCTAATCTGATGTCCTGGGGGGCAAAGATACCTGACTCCGACGAGCTGTTGGCAAGGTGATTCTGTTATTTTTGTTGTTGTAATTAAGTTAAATTACGATGCGTCAGTGTGATTGCCCGTCAGGTATACTTGCCTTGCCCTCAGAGCAAAACACTCCGGACGTGCCAGAATCCCCGTCGCTTTTCATAGAAGCTAAGCAGGGCTGAGTTTTTGGTTAGATCTCGGAAGAACGTGTTCATGACCAGGGGAAATTGACAGGTGCTGAGCTATCATTTGTGGCCAGGTCGCTTCTGCAAAAGAAGCTAATAGCTCAGTGGGCTCTAAATGGTAAAATATATATTTTTTGTGACATGCCTACATTTCCAATGCTTTGCGCTTCTATCGTGTTTTGCTGTTGTTTGCGGCTGTAACGTTCTGACCCGCCCCTACTGAACATCTTTCATAACGAGCTTTATAGATCGTCGGATTGCTCCAATATATAATCTCATTCTGTGGTCAGGAACTGTCAGCTCGTGATGGTGCAGCGCTGAGTGCCGTTAGTGTCTTTAATTTAGCTGTTGTTGCTGGCCACTGTTGTTGCTGGCTTTTGCTCATAACCGTAATAACAAACAAATCTTGTTTGATACATAATTGGTTTCTTCTGGGTTAGGTCGTGTGACAAAAAAATGCAATAAACCCTCCTCCGCCCGACACAGCCAATTAATAAAAGTGTCCCCGTGAATCAAACGTGCAAAATACATTGACTGCTTCAGCAGGGCCACCGGTCTGACGTTGGAGAGTAATCTCGCGACAATTATATGGCTACAATACGACGTTCCGCTGGAGGTTACGTTTATTTTGCTTGCGACACAGAGAATGGTCCCGTTTAGTCAGTCGCCCCCGATATTTTACAAAGGAGAAATCCGTGGTGCGTGGGCACAGAAGCGACAGCATGACAAAGGCAAATACATACGATATTGCAGAGAATGAGTACAGCAGGCCCCTTTAGATATATTGCGCGAATAATAACTGTGCAAATATAACGTTAGGTACAGTTGCAAGCAAGCTCTATACAAGGTTTCGATTTAAAGCTTTCGTGACTGCAAGGATTCATCTTCTACATTGTAGCTCTGTCGTCCTGACAGGTTTGTTCCTTTCACCTGAAGAAGGCCACTTGTGTTGTTGCCGAAACGTTGTGAGAATTGTATTGTTTTATTTTCATTATTTTATTCTCATTCTACGTGACTTTACCGAAAGAACCAAAGAAGATCTATACAAGGTGTTTTAGAAAGATGGACCCAATTTCAAAGCAGTATATTTCACGATGGCAACATGTTACAATTACACAAAAAGTTACAATCGGTTTAATGAGTTATCAAGTTTTACTAACCATTTGATAAATGCTCTATGTGCCCTCCACCTGCTGTACGGACAACATCGAAACTATAATTGAATTCGTCCCAAACGCCTCTCAAAGTGTCTTCTTCCACTGAAGTCACCGCTGACGTGATTCTGTTTTTGAGGTCATCCAGGTGAGTCGCTAATGTATGGCACAAAAAAACACCGTCTTTGACGTGTCCCCACAAGAAAAAGTCGCAGGGTGTGGTGATGTCTGGGGGTGATCTTGGGGGCCAAGAGTGTAGCGCCAAGCCTTGGGGTTCCGTGGCGACCCTATCCAACGTTGAGGCGGTGTTGTCTTGCGAATGACGTGAGGCTAGGGGGCTGTTTGTGCGCTGGGTGAAGCATCTCGCGGTAATCATTTGAAACTCTATGCCCCGCCCTCTCTATGCCCCGCCCTCTCTATGCCCCGCCCTCTCCGTGCCCCGCCCTTTCAAGTGGCAAGAGTTTCAGTCATGGGCGGTTCGTGGTTGCAGAGATATAGAGATTTCAAATCGGGTCCATTTTTTTAAACACCCTGTATATTCAGTCTTAGCAGTGACACACACACATACACAACCGAAAAACAAAAATACGGAGCAAACATGTGGGAGGAAGAGATGCCAGAAAAAAAATGAAAACGTTCGGTGCAGGCGCAAGCAAGCGCTGTTTTTTGGTTAAGTGGGGAAATAGATGGAGAGTGAAGAGAGAGGGGGGAGATAAGCTGTGGATGAGCTGCAATGGCTTTCCAGAAACGTGGAGCAGCAAAAGCGGAAATGTTCTTCACCAAACAAAGTTTTTTTTTTACCAAAGTTACATCCAGCATCATCAGGTTGCTGACAGGAGCTCAGATCCCGGAGGCTTTGAGACTTCGTGAAGCTGTTGTTCCGATGTGTGGGTGGGGTGGTTTAATTATGTTTAAAGAATGTGCGTAACAATACATAAAGCACGATGACACACACACACGCTCGCTCATTATCCTCTTTGCTTACTCTTTGAGCGCATTAAAGTTGGACGCATACGCCCACAAGCTATGTGTGTGTTTTTACTCATTCAGCGTCATTTCCTGGGGGTCTTCTGTGTGTGTCTGTGTGTGTGTTGCGGTGAGTTGCGTTGCGCGTGTGTGCTCTGTGGGGGTGTGGGCGGTGAAAGTTTATACAGAGCAGCAGCGGCGGCGGCGGCGGCGGCAGAGGAATTAAAAAAAAAGGCGAACAGGCGGAAACCCGACCGGCTTATCCAGCCAGAGCCGACGGACATAAATCCTCGTACAGCTCGGACACATCTCGTGAGACGACTGCATCGAGGAGACGACGATTTTGACGATGACTGCCACGTTCTTCTACTGCCTCTTGGCGTACACGGCCATCACGTGCAACTCGCAAGAAGTCACGGGTGAGTGAGAGTTTTTCAAGAGGGGGGGGAGGTGTGAAGTTTTAAACGTTTTGCTGCTGCTGCTTGCTTGCTTGCTTGTGTACGATGGGTTTATGTCGCGCGGTTATTGGCGACTGTTTTGTCAACCCCCCGTGGTGGTTTTGGGCGTGTGTGTACACCCGCCTGTTCGGTTCGATGTCCCGACGTTTCGCTCCACCTTGCCGGGGGGTGGTGGTGGTCGGGGGGGGGGGAGGAGAGCTTCTGCTGCAGCGCTCGAATTAACGAAGACGGTTCGGGAAGAGCGGTCGGGGCGAGGTGGCCGGTATAGGGGAGACGTTCGTGGGAAGAAACTCCCAGCTCGTGCGGCGAAACGTCGGACAATCGTGGCGAACAACAACAAAGAAGAATCACGTGGCACACAGCTCGAGAGTTGTTTCAACCAACTATTTGTTGCCGTGTTCTTTGTGGACGCGTGTGTCCGTCCCGGCGTGCGCGTGTGTCGAGGTGTTTCTGTTTGTTGCGGTGGCCGCGTTTGCGTTACGGACCCCCGGCGAACCGAGTTCGAATGCCCGCTCACGGACAACCGATCTGTACTGGTGCTGGGACTCCCGTAGGTGGACTCGGCACTCAAATGAGAACCCGGGTGCCGTGGCGTAAAACATCGACGCTGGGGAGATAAAGGCGGCCGGGCGTGGTGCTGGACCACCAACCCCCCCCCCCCACCCACGTGTGGCGGTGCCGGCCTTCACAGGCGCTACTCGCTAACAACACTTGCCGCAACAGTCTGTCTAAGGCTATACGGGGAGATCTTTGTCTTTGTGTGTCGTCTGGAAGTTGTTTTGTTTCTGCGGGGTTGACGACTTGTGAAAATGGAAATGAGCAGAGGGATTGAGGAAAAAAAAACACGTGTTCTTCAGTTTGTCAATTCTCTTTGCGAGGCAATGTATTGATTGTCGATGCGTCCGTTGCGTTCTGGTTACGTGCGTGTGTCGGTGTGTGTGTGCGTGCAGTGCTTTGTTTATGGTGAGATGACTTTGAGAAATTATCAGAAGAGAAAAAAAACATGAGCATGTGTTTTTGATTCGTACGAAGACTCATTGAGAGTAATGTACATGCTTCATGTGGTGTCTGCGTGCGTGCTGGTATGTGGGTGTGTGGCTTTGAGCGTGCTGGTGTGGGTGTGTGTGTGCTGGTGTGTGTGTGCTGGTGTGTGTGTGTGCCTGTGTGTGTGTGTGCCTGTGTGTGTGTGTGCCTGTGTGTGTGCTGGTGTGTGTGTGTGCCTGTGTGTGTGCTGGTGTGTGTGTGTGCTGGTGTGTGTGCCTTTGTGTGTGCTGGTGTGTGTGCCTTTGTGTGTGCTGGTATGTGTGTGCCTTTGTGTGTGCTGGTGTGTGTGTGTGCCTTTGTGTGTGCTGGTGTGTGTGTGTGCCTTTGTGTGTGCTGGTGTGTGTGTGTGTGTGCCTTTGTGTGTGCTGGTGTGTGTGTGTGTGTGCCTTTGTGTGTGCTGGTGTGTGTGTGTGCCTTTGTGTGTGCTGGTGTGTGTGTGTGCCTTTGTGTGTGCTGGTGTGTGTGTGTGCCTTTGTGTGTGCTGGTGTGTGTGTGTGCCTTTGTGTGTGCTGGTGTGTGTGTGTGCCTTTGTGTGTGCTGGTGTGTGTGTGTGCCTTTGTGTGTGCTGGTGTGTGTGTGTGCCTTTGTGTGTGCTGGTGTGTGTGTGTGCCTTTGTGTGTGCTGGTGTGTGTGTGTGCCTTTGTGTGTGCTGGTGTGTGTGTGTGCCTTTGTGTGTGCTGGTGTGTGTGCCTTTGTGTGTGCTGGTGTGTGTGTGTGCCTTTGTGTGTGCTGGTGTGTGTGTGTGCCTTTGTGTGTGCTGGTGTGTGTGTGTGCCTTTGTGTGTGCTGGTGTGTGTGTGTGCCTTTGTGTGTGCTGGTGTGTGTGTGTGCCTTTGTGTGTGCTGGTGTGTGTGTGTGCCTTTGTGTGTGCTGGTGTGTGTGTGTGTGTGCCTTTGTGTGTGCTGGTGTGTGTGTGTGCCTTTGTGCGTGCTGGTGTGTGTGTGTGCCTTTGTGCGTGCTGGTGTGTGTGTGTGTGTCTTTGTGCGTGCTGGTGTGTGTGTGTGTGTCTTTGTGCGTGCTGGTGTGTGTGTGTGTGCCTTTGTGTGTGCTGGTGTGTGTGTGTGTGCCTTTGTGTGTGCTGGTGTGTGTGTGTGTGCTGGTGTATGTGTGTGTGCCTTTGTGTGTGCTGGTGTATGTGTGTGTGCCTTTGTGTGTGCTGGTGTATGTGTGTGTGCTGGTGTGTGTGTGTGTCTTTGTGCGTGCTTGTGTGTGTGCGTCTTTGTGCGTGCTGGTCTCGTGTGTGTCTTTGTGCGTGCTGGTGTGTGTGTGTGTCTTTGTGCGTGCTTGTGTGTGTGCGTCTTTGTGCGTGCTGGTCTCGTGTGTGTCTTTGTGCGTGCTGGTGTGTGTGTGTGTCTTTGTGCGTGCTGGTCGTGTGTGTGTGTCTTTGTGCGTGCTGGTCTTGTGGGTGTGTGTCTTTGTGTGTGCGTCTTTGTGTGTGCTGGTGTGTGTGCGTCTTTGTGCGTGCTGGTCTTGTGTGTGTGTGTCTTTGTGTGTGCTGGTGTGTGTGTGCCTTTGTGCGTGCTGGTGTGTGTGTGTGTGCCTTTGTGCGTGCTGGTGTGTGTGTGTCTTTGTGCGTGCTGGTGTGTGTGTGTGTGTCTTTGTGCGTGCTGGTGTGTGTGTGTGTGTCTTTGTGCGTGCTGGTCTTGTGGGTGTGTGTCTTTGTGCGTGCTCGGGAGCGGTGGCGCAGTGGTTTACGCACTGCGCCACGAACCAGGCAACCTGCGTTCGATTCCCGCTCGCGAACGATAAGAGTGGCGAATATTTTAACCGATCCCTTGGATCCTTCGCCCCTTAGGTCGGCTGAGGCTTAAACGACTACCTGGTGCTGGTCTGTAAAACGAAAACAAAAAATCAGCACTGGGGAGACAAAGGCGGTCGGGCGTGACCCCCACCCCCCCCCCCCCCCCCCAATATTAGTGTGTCTTTGCCTGCCTGAGTTCGTGTTCGCTAACAGCACTTGCCCTCGCAGTCCGCTGGAGAGACTGTACGGTGGGGGAATCTTCGTGAGAGAAGTCGTGCTCCACACGATGCCCCCAGTGTCTTTGTTGTGAGAGGGGAGCGGTGGCGCTGTGGTTAGCCGCTGGGGGGGTGGGGGTGTTCTTGTGATTCCCGGGGGGAAGAGATTGGGGTCTTTGTGTGCAGTCTGCACCGTGGCTTTATTCATAGTGAACGTGTTCTCGATTGTGAGAAGGCCGTTCGATAGTTTATTGCTCACGTGTTCGCGCTGTGCACGTCTGCATGGTCTGTGCACTGCGTTTGTTTCCGTGCTGCGATGCATTACGCGGTGGATTAATCCCAGTGGGATGCGCTCCCTTGCACGTGTGTACGTTGGACTTCTTTCGCACCGTACGTAGCCAACCGTGCTCATCGGATGTGCGCGGAAAAGGACCGCGAACTGAACACAAAAGGCAACGAGTTGTAAATAAATGAGTTCTTCAGTTGCCATTAATCCATGTAATTTGACCCAGCCACTACGCAGTGGAAGCAACTGTGCCACAGTTTTGCTCATTGCCATCGAGGAATTGTTTTGATGATAATCATCAATCACTATCAATCGGTCTCTATCCACTGCTGGCTGAACGCCTCCCCCACGCCGTCGCCATTGCCTTGCGGTTTTTCGTGAAGACGTCACGATCTGCCGCACTCCTGCACGTGAACCGATCTCTCATCGCTGATCTCATGATTCCATCTCTCCGGGCACAATCTCTCCTCTCCCTTGGGCTGCCGTTGTCACAATTCTTGTCCGCCAGCAATCGTCCCTTCTGGTCACGTGATCTGCCTAAAGCCAACTTTATGTTATCCTTAGTCAACGTGGGAGTCCGATTTGCGTTTGGTCGCCGATGGATTCGTGTGTTACACGTGTTCACCTCTCTCGGCCCTCCTTTGGCTGCCATTCCATCGACATTGTACGTATGTTGAACTTCTTTCACACCGTACGTAAGCATTCTTCTCGACATATGCCCTGCCCAAGTATCCCACGTACTTTTTCTCACTGTCTGTGTGACGCCTCTCATTTCCATTTGTTCCCCCAAATCCACGTGCTCCTCTCTCCATCTCTTCTCTCCTTTGGCTCTCATTCCATCACCAGCCTCAATCGGCGATCCAAATGTCTCTTCAAAAATGCACTCGCATGCTTCTGGAGTTGATATGTTTCGAATAATGTGCACGTTCCCGTGATCCATATACTCTCCCCTTGCTTATCGATGTTACTCCGAGCGTGCTTCTATGCACACTCTGTGATCATTACGTTGCCACAATGATAGATGGCCTTTTTTATTTCAGCAGGTGAGAGCCCATTGAGACCAGAGCTGTGGGTCAATTACAATTGTAATTGTGTGATTGGTAATGCATTGCAATCGCTGTGAGTAATTGTAGTTCCAGCTAACGACACTGCAATAAATATAATTAACATTGACTCCCTCAGGTTCGCTTGAGTTGACCCTCAGTCCGATTTTCATGGGTGACATATGGGTCAACAAATATAGAGGGGACATACACTGAAAGATTTATTGCACTAAATTTTGATTTAAAGCTTTCGTGATTGCAGGGATTCATATTCTTGGTTCTTTCGGTAAAGTCACGTAGAAGGGAAACAATAAAATAATAAAAATATAAAACAATAAAATTCTCACGACGTTTCGACTGCAACACAAGCGATCATCATCAGGTGTGAAAACCACAGCAAGAAAATTTGAAAAAAGTAGCGTTTTTTTTAACGTTAGCACCACGGAGAGCGATTTGGCAGTTATTCAGATGGACGAGTCCATCTATGTTCGCTCTCTGTGGTGTTAACGTTAAAAAAAACCCACTTTTTTCAAATTTTCTTGCTGTGGGTTTCACACCTCATGATGATTGCTTGTGTTGCGGTCGAATCGTTGTGAGAATTTTATTGTTTTATATTTTTATTGTTTCCCATCT